AGGCCCCTGGAGGTTGGAAGTAAAATGGTTACACAATGGATAATCACGAAACTCGCTCGGATAGTCCGACACAGTCATGACCTGCGCACTTCAAAAACATCGGGGACACAAGTTCACGGGCTACCACACCGTTTTCAAAAACGCTGTTTTATCTGTTTCAGAAAGTCTGTTCCATTTTGTGCACAAAAATGCTGTTTATTCCCAAGGACTTCGCCAACTCGGGAGTTATTTTTCCAGCCTGAAATTCTTTCTTTTTTGATTATGGGTAAGGAATGCGTACTATTGCAAAATTGTTAGCCAGACGCCACACACGCGCGCATGCGTATAAAGGCCTTGGACATTTCTGACCGATTTAGCAACGGAGAAACGAATTACTAACCAACAAACAGGAGGCAGCATGGAGAGTGTTCTTACTGGGGCGGAATCAAACCAAGGCCGTTCTGGTCGAAGGCAGTCAGCTTAGTGACAGTAAATTTTGAAGTCTCCTCCCCCCCTGTATACAGTATGTCCCAAAAAGATGTATACACATTATATAATACGGAATATTATCGTTGTGTGTATCCATATTTTTGGGATAACGTCTACGAAGTAAGCGTACGAGAGGATCACTCTGTACGGTGTACCATCAGCGAACATTTTAATTTCCCCACTGTCCTACGGCTGGAGTAAATCTTATATGTTTAAAAGTGCATTATAACGAAATTCCCACTCTGCAGTCTCCCAGAAATCTTCAACCTTTTAAATTCCAAAGGTGGTTAACTACACGTACCACCTTCTTTACACAACCAATAACGCTGCATTTTAGACTTACGCATTTCATGCGAATCTAAACAGAATTAACGAGTTGGTCTTTGAAATGGTGAACAGCTGTGTTTTCTTTGCGGTAAGGACTGAATTCTTAATATTCAGATGAGTTTAGTCTTCAAGGGATTAAAGAGAAAACTCAATACATGTGACTTTATCAGACGCTGAAATTCGCACCAGACCAACGTCATCAAATGTCCTCGCGATAGTTGCAGTGTTCTGATGATTTGGTTGCTTAATCACCAAAATGTTTCTTTCGTAACCAAATTTCGTTTAACCGTCTTTGTTTATTCCAGCCCGAATAATGCCCGATGTATTTATAATCTGTACGAAGCACATTTTTAGTTTTAATACATAAATGCCAGTAATCCTTGAATGATTTACGGACGGAATGAATTTATTTGGTGGTTGAGGAACGGTACAAAGATTCCAAATTTGCAAGTCGATATCTAAAATTATTTCTGGGAGGGGGGGGGGGGGGACGA